GAAGAACTGCTTTTTACATTACTCTTCCTTGACTTGTTGATTTTGACCATGTCTGCAATTTGTGCACTATATTGCAACCCACAAAACATCAAATGACTTTAACAAACAAAAACAAAACAAAAACAAACCCAATGCAAAATAAAATTAAAAAAAAAAACGGGGGGGGCGGGAAGGAAGAAGTTAGCTTTCAGGCTTTTTTTTTTTTTAAGTCTTTTTAGTATATTTTAATCATGTTTGAAAAAAATATTTTAAATCACTTGGGTGCAAAATAGTTTTGGTTTGTGGTGCTTTTTAAAATTAAAATCACAAGTCTTGCTTAAGCCCTCCAATCTGTATATACTTCAAATGTCTTGAGGTTTATAGTAAAATCTAGAGAGCTGTTTCACAACCAAAGAGCCTGTAAAAAAGCTCTTACATTTAGCTTCCCTGTTGCTATTCCAGGATGACAACTGGGACAGAAGAAAGTAAGATGGGGAGCACATTGCCCTTTTGCTGTCAGTACAGGTCCCAGTGTCCTTCCATTTCTCTGCAAGATCTCTCAGATCCTGCAGAAGCAGCTCCTAAAAGCACAGAAAATCATCATCAATGTTAACCCACAAATGTCACATTTATGGCACGAGCCTAAAGATGAGACCTCAGCAGTGTGACTGCAGGCACCAATGGACACACCAGTTCCCGTTTCCAGGTCAGCAAACTTATGAGGCTGGGACTGCTTTTCTTACTGATGGCAAAAAAATGTTCAGGTCCAGGTTGGTTTATGTTCATGCAAGTACCACCTTTTTTGGGAACAGCAAGGGTGTGAAACCAGCCTACAGAGCCTGCTGTCAGCAGTGGGTGTCACAGCCCACAGCTAGTCAAGTCATTAGGAGCCAAAGAGACAGAAAAACGTGGCCAACATAAGGGAAAGATGCAGCAAAAAGCAAGGGTGCACAAATCTGGCTTTTACTTTTCTCATCGTGGTCTGTTTTTATTCTCAGCATATTAAAACTGTCATGGCTTTATGCTAACGTGGTTCATTCCTAGCCAGTGATTATTATGCTTTGAATTAGCAGAGCTCTTGAGGGTATTTTTCATGGGGAAGAAAACAACAAAAAAAAAAGTAATCCTTCTGAAAAATCGGAGTGAAGGGGGGGGGGGGGGGGGGGGGGGAAGAACTGTTACTTGTATTAGCTCAGAGCCATGTGTGTTTGGAGAGGATGAAGGAGAAGGGCCATATAATCTCTTCATGGCTGATAGAGAGCCCAGCAGAGCTCCTGGAACAGCTCCATGTGAGACAAGATACCAAAATGCAAGGAAGAGCAGTCAGAATATGGAAATGGTTTTAACACTGTGTTTGACTTTTAATGAATTCCCCTTTGGGTAAATTTCTTTTGACACCAGTGTTAGTGCTGCCTGATGGAGAATCCATGCTAGTTTACCCTCAATGGGAGAAGCTTCCTGGGGGCAGTGAGAGCACAACTGGTATGTAACGTAGAGGATGCGCTTTACAAAAGAAGATTTTTAAGGGATATCAGTTCACCTGGGAATGGCCTCAGCAGTAGCAATTAGGATCAGCTCTCAAAGAACTGTGCAACTCTGAGGCTTAGTAACTGTAGGGAACCTTGGTAGCAGAAATGGTGTCTCAGTGAGGGGCACGGGAAAACGGGCAAGCAGCAAGAGGAATTTCGTTATAACCGTGGTTTTATGTAGCAGAAAGCCCAATTCAGCAGCAGTAGTGTGTCATTCCCAGTTTGTTCAACGGACCACTGATACACCCTCTATCCCTCGAGTAAGGCAGCAAAGACAGTACCAGCCCACTGCTTCTAGCAGCATCTCAAACAAGTCACAGCAGTGGCTCACAGCATGGTCTTGTGTGCTTTAACTAGAGGCATCTTAAAAAGAGGAGGTAGGAAAATGCATGGTCTCTTTGGATCTGCATATAGAGTAAGGTGATTTATATGTATCCCATGCAGGTCTTCAAAGCCCTGCTGCATGTTCCAGTGAAATCAGAAAGCACGAGGAAATATCTGATTTCTTCTTTTTATCCTCATGGCACGTTCAGCGTAACAAGGCAATTTCAGTTTTGATGCAGCACGTCCCAGCCTTTTATAGGACAGCACCTTGTAATGGATTCTCCATATGTGCAGGTGTTTCTCTGGGCAGTCAGACACAATGTGAAGAGCTGGAACAAAATGAAATGCTGTGACCAGGCTACCTTTTCTTTTTCCTCTGCTTTTAATTGAAAGAAAATTTTCTCAGAAATGTTTATTTCTCTCCATTGCCCCAGCGGATGATTGTTTTTTTAACCAGTTCCAGTGAAACAGTTTGAGACTCTGTATCTCATTGGCTAACAGCTTTTCACCAGAAACTTATAGGCAGCAGTATCTGGCAGTGATATTTTACAGGAAAAAGGAATGTGTTGCCAACGTTAAAAACACAACAAGAAGAACAAAATAAGCAACTTCTTGCAATAAAATGAGAGGCTCAAATAATATTTTAGTTTAGAGCTTTGGTAATAGGATTTCCTATGTGCTAGAGATATATCTGTAGTTGTTCCCATGAAAACCAACCTAAATTTGGCAAACTTAACGCCTTTGAAAAATTTCAATTGAGATGCTCAAGAATTTGCCAGCTCAAATCTCTGGTGGTTTAGCATGTGTGGAGTAGGGGTGTTCATCCCTTCACAGCTCTGCTCTTGTTGAGATTCCCAAACCTGCGCTCATGACTGAGGTTAATCCTTAAACAATACAGGTGTAATAAAAACACTAGGTTGCTGTCTTCAGAATGGGAGCAATGAAGATCTGTGTCCCATCTTTATGAGTCCAGATTGTCTTTGTGCGAACCACTCAGATCAGTTTTTCTGGCAGTGTTGCATTACAACGCAAGCCTGGGAAATGACAGAATAAAACAGAACAGTTCAGTTAGAAGGGACCTTCAAAAACCATCTAGTCCAAGTCCCTGACCACGTCAGGGCTAACCAAAAGTTAAAGCATGTCAATGAGGGCATTGTTCAAAGACCTCTTGAACACTGGTGGTCATGGGGCATCAACCACCAATCCAGGAACCTGTTCCAGTGTTTGACCACCCTTACAGTAGAGAGTCTTTTTCTGACAAATGGCCCCTTTGTGCTCTTCCTGCATATCCTGTCATCAGTACCGAGGGAGCAGAGACCAGCAGCTCCCTACAGATTCCTCTCCTCAGGGAGTTGCTGAGAGCCATGAGGTGGCATCTTAGTCTCCTCTTCTCTAGACTGGACAACCCAGGTGTCCTCGGCATCTCCATCCCAGGTGCAACACCTAGCATGTTCCTTTATTGCACTTCATGCTGATGATAATTTCCCAGTGCTCTAATCTCTCTAGAGCCCTCTGCAAGGCCTCTTATCCCTCCAGTCAGCCAACAGTACCCCCAGTTTAGTGTCATCAGTGAACTCAACAAGTTCAAGGTTGCTTTCCACTCCTGCATCCAGATAAATAAAAATGTTAAAGAGGACTAGATGTAGAATTGAGCCCTGGGAGACACTGGAGGTGACCATCCACCAGCCAGCTGTAGCCTCATTCACAATGACCTTCTGAGCTCTACCTTTGAGCCATCATCACCTGGCACAGCATGAACCTGTTTGTCTTACAGTTGGACAATTTGTCCAGAAGGATGCCATGAGGGGCCATATTAAAGGCCTTGCTAAAATCCAGAAAGATTACATCCACCACTACCTTTTCATCCACCAAGCAGATGACCTGTCCTAGAAGGAGATCAAATTATGAAGGCCAGACTTTCCCTTGACTGTGCCTGATAATAGTTTTATGCTTTAACTACCTTTCAATAACCCTCAGGACAATCTTCTCTATAACTTTTCCAGGAACTGAGGTTAGGGACTAAGAGGTCTGTAGTTTCCCAGGTCTTTTCTCATGGCTTTGTGTAGATGGAGAAAAAAAACAACTATATATATATATGTTTAATTTTTAAAAAGTCTCCTTCAAGATGACTGAATTATGCAGATGCTCTTCTTAGAGTCAGAGGCTGCATGTTTCAGCCCAGGGCTGGAAGAGCTTCTTGCAGCCCTGGCAGCTGTGGCATGGAGGGACCCTTTGACCCTACCTCCATGCTGCTGGTACCTTCCTACTGTTGGTGTTTTCTGTTGTCGTCCTAGCTTACCTCTGTCTGTGCCTCTCTCTAATCATCTGGATGTTAATTCCCAAACACGTTAGCATACATTTTCTCTGGAAACCTGAGGGGGAGACCATGCAATGTAATTGTGCCAAGTGGAAAAGGCTGCCCAGGGGGCTGTGGAGTCTCCTTCTCTGGACACATTCAAAACCCATCTGGACGCATTCCTGCGTGACATGATCTAGGTGTTCCTGTTCCGACAGGGGGATAGGACTAGATGATCTCTCAAGGTGCATTCCAATCCCTCACATTCTGTGATTCTCTGACTACCGCCAGACTTCTCTTGTTGTCAGGGGGAGGAAGAGTAACTTAAATTCTTCTAATTTGTTTGTTGGTTTGCTTGTTTATGTAAGTATTGAGACTACCATGATGTATTACAATGTAATGATTGCAGACATTTATTAATTTTTGTTATTAACAACAGAAGTTGTCACTGAGAAATAGAAGTTAATGCAAATTTCTCTTTCCATTGCAAGACAAGCTTGCAATATTTCACTTAAGCAGTATTTCATAATTTCTTTGGAGCTATCTCTTTCCAAGTCTCTATCACACACTTCCATGGGAATGACTGGTGGATGGACTGCCAGCTGTCTAGAGCAATGCAGAAAGATTTTCTGAGGACTGAATCTGATTATTAATACTGATCTTTACAGCACAGCATGGATTCCACTGAAAGGAAAAAAATATATCAAAATAATAAAGACTACATTTTTTCCCTTTTTTACTGTTCTCTATAACCATATAAAAATTTAACCATCTGTGTGGTTCTCTGATAATTTGTTAAAACACCTATTTCACCTCCTTTTTTTTCTTTTTTCCTTTTTTTTTTTTTTTTCATTTTCTTGTGGAAATGACAGCCGAGGAAGTGGAAAGACTGGCTGCAATGCGTTCAGATTCTCTAGTACCTGGGACTCACACGCCTCCGATCAGAAGAAGAAGCAAATTTGCCACTCTTGGAAGACTTTTTAAGCCATGGAAATGGAGGAAGAAGAAGAGTGAAAAATTTAAGCATACTTCTGCAGGTAATACTCTCAGTCAGGTTGGTCTGTTTATCTTGGACTGTTTGTTCAACAAGGTTGAAAACTGTTAATGCAGCCCCAATTTATACACGTTTTGAAGTTTGTAGCTTGGCTGGGAGAGATTTCTCTGATTTTAAGTAATTTTTAATTTCATTACCAGCCCTGTCTTTTTTTTTTTTAAAAAAAAAAAAAGAATGCAACCTCTCATGCATTACAATTAAACCAGTAGCTCGCCAAAGCTGTATTTTCAGGTTTTGCTGTTATAGCTAGAGGGTAACCCAGAAGAAATCTCATACATTGATTTAGCAAATTGTGGGTAAAAGAAGTGGTAGCATGAAAAGACAAGCCAAGTGGAGGATATAGCTACACTCAAACTCTGTAAGTGCTAACAAGGGAGCAAGAAAAATAGATGGCAAAGGAGTTGACATTCTGTTGAGTAAATTGCATAACCATAAATTGTTTTTTCCCTTGGGCTAAAAAGATGTGTCACTTGTTTCCTGAGAAAAACAAATCTGTCCTCCTGCCACATCCCTTCTCCCGCCACTGTATTTAATGCTCCTGGAATTTTGTACCTGGTGTGTTTGGTTTCAAGTTCCATTACTTTTTTAGAAGAGTTCTTTTCTTTTCTTTGCTCTTCCATGATGCCTAGTAATTAGCATGCGTGTTTCTGCAAGTTTCAAGTCTGGATTGTCCGTGAGAAAAGATGAATTTTCTTCTGATTTCTTACTGTTCTCACCGGAGCTAGAAACAAAACAGTGACAAAAGAGTCTTGGTTTACAACTCAGTTCCTCTCTGACCTGTTTATGTACAGTAGAAGCTTTCAGGCAGGACTGGAGTGTAGTTTTTGACACCCTTAAGCCTGTACTCATGAAAATGGACCATAATCACACAAGAAGTCTCATGTCGTTAAGTGCAAATTCATGTGCAAATTTAAATGTGGAATAAGAGTTTGCAGTTCATTCAGACTTAAAGGTGCTCTTTATGTATGGTGTTTAAACTGCTCCCTGATTTTTCAGGCAAAAAATAATGAACTGGAATAGATAGCTATTTTACTCTGAGTGGTGATCATATTTTTGACTTGACAGCTGCGAAGGTATTGTTGCTAAAATGATATGCAAAACAAGTGGCTTGTCTTTCATATTCTGTATCAGTCATAACTGTAGTGTGGCCTAGCAGGATTTCCATGAAAACCATAGTGCTCATAGGAGCATTGGATATGTGGATGCTTTTGTCACAACCAGTTTGAAGCTAGTTTTGCAGCATTCTGGACTGGCTGGTTACAGCTAGTAGCATAATCACAGCAGTACAGGACATACCACAGGCTGCAAAAGCCTCCCTAGTATTTGTTTGTATGGTTTATCTAATTCCAGGAGCTGGGGCTGAGCTATATACATGTACTGCTGTGCTTAGACCAATTAGTTTGAATCTGGCTTGAACATGTCTGCCTGGTCTGCTCTGGGCACTGCAATAGCTGGTATGTAGATTTTCCCCAATTACCAAAACATGTGGAAAGTATACAGTGATTAAAACCAGAGTAAAAACACGTATTTCCTTTTCTCAGAGCAGAAGGAAGCTTTACCAGACAAGCCAGCATATTTCCTCCCCTGAAAAGAGGGATTTCAGTGTCTGAAGAACTAAATTAAAAGAAGGGTATCCAGTTTGTTGATTGAGGTACAGAGTTTGATCTTAGATGAATCCAAAACCTTTTCTTTTTCTTCCCCCTCCTCTCCTCTCCATTTTTTTTAATTAAAAAAAAATAAATCCATTTCTAGTAAGCCAACAGTATCCTGCAGCTGCTCTGCAAAATTGCTATTCTTGTCAGCTCCCCTACTAATAACTGCAGCAAAATTTACACAGATGTCAAATTTGCTGAGCACCCCGCAGGAGGCACAGGGAGATATGTGCTTCTGGACCATACCGGAGCTGGGGACTCCACAGTTTCTGCAGCCCTGGGGAACAGAAATCCAGCAGGATCCTGTGAGACCCCTTTCTGTCAATTCAGCAGCATTGGTTGAACCTAATATGTGTAATACAAAAGATTTTTCACCCACAAAACTAGCATTTTTCAACACATTTTTCCATGAGCTCCAGTCTAATACCTCTGATCTCACTGAGAAGATATAATTATTTTTTACAATAAATTTTACAAAGGACAAGTTTATGAGATGGCATAATTGGAACCAGCATGAAAATTCCTAATACAGGCTTATTTTCTTCTAGTGCACCAATAACTACGATGCTTGGGAAAAAAAAAAAATCTGATTAAGTGTTGTGCAGGAATGCATCCAAGCTTTCCTACCTGTATAGAACATCAGTAATTATTAAAAATAAATACTAATATAAGTATTTTATTAACCTCTTATTTGCTGCAACAGTAGATTTAATTATGTTAAATGTTGAAAGTAAGGTCAAAACACATGACCTTACCTGTTGAAAGTTCCTTTGAAATTAATGTTTGTTTGTTTTTTAAATTTATTTTTTTTTCCTGGGAGAAAACTAGAAGCAAGAGAGAGTCAGGCTGATATTTAAAGTTGAAAGGTTGCCCTTTCTTGAGATTTCCAAGTTCTAATGTCTTACATCCGTATCTTTATCAGACTAAAAGCTTTGTGCTAAGGAATATTTATTCAGAGCTGAATGCTTTAAAATACAGTCCTGTATTCAGTGAGCAAAAAAACCTTTTGAGTAATAAGAAAAGTTTTCTGACACCTGATAATTGCATAAGATGAGGTAGAAGACCTGTAGTTTGGCTGTTAGAGGACCTTAACATTATGCTTATTATATATGGTTCCCTGCAGCATATCGTTGCTCAGATTGTAATGTTTGAATGTTATATTTGAACAAGTCCTCCATCTTCATTAGTGCATTGTCACTGACAAGCAGAAGATTAAAGGGTGCTTCATACACTTTTACACATCATACACAGCTTTATCTGCTACTACCATGTGTTGGTTTTGATATCCTTGTAGTAACTATGCAGAAAGGTTTATAATCTGATATTGCCTTGGTGCTGACTTAGTCATGAAGCTGCAAGTCATGGTTTTTGACACAGACATTAATGCCATTTACCTTACAGTTGGTCAGTCTGTGAGCATCACTGTTAGGCTTTTTGCAGTGACAAGAGCAGGCAGAAAAGATCACACTCTGTGAGAGTCTATTGTTGGAGATGGTAAACATCAGGTGAGACCAGCTCTGGGGCTTGATTTAAGCAACTTCATCGTAGAAGGAAGGGATGCCATCCAAAGGTACCTGGACAAGGTTGAGAATTAGGTCCTTGTGAACCTAATGAGGTTCAACAAGGCCAAGTGGAAGGTGCTGCATCTGGATCAGGGCAATCCGAGGCAGGAACACAAACAGGAGAATAACACAGTGAGAGCAGCCCTGCAGAGAAGAACTTGGGGGTTCTGGTGGACAAGAAGCTCAACATGAGCCACCAGTGCATGCTTTCAGCCCAGAAGGCCAACTGCATCCTGGGCTGCATCAAGAGAGGAGTGGCCAGCAGGTCAATGGAGGTGATTGTGCCCCTCTACAATTTTATCTTGCACAGAAAGTGTGGAGACCTTTATTACCATGGCGGGTCTGAGGGTCCCATATATAAATGAGCAAATATGATAAAGTTTTAGGAGCACAGTCAAGCTGGTAGTATTATATTACTTGAGGAGGCTGTTTCTTTTAATTGTTGTGGAGCAGTCTTATGACAGAAGCCAGGAAAAAACAGTGTTGTTTTTTTTTTGCCTGAGCACTTAGCTGGATGCAGCTGAGATGGCTCCAGCAGGCTGCACAATGTTTTTAAAGCCACATCAGGCTTTCTGATAATCAGCAAGGCATATAGCAGGAAGGAAAGCTGACTGTCTCCTCAACTAGACCTTTGTCATCATTTTTCATACCTTGATCTTGCTTTTCTTGCCTTGATATGAATTTGAAAACAGTTTTTTGAGTGTACTGGTGTTTTATGGCACCGCTGTACATGTGCTAGTGAAATGTAATTTCTTGGCTGTTTGGGAGGAGGAAGTATACATTGTCTTCTGAAAAAAAGAAGCTAGAGGGAAGATAGGTTCTGGAATTATTTGAAATGTTATTGAAGATTTTTTATCCTTGTATTCATCAAGAACCAACTGCTTGCAACCTTACAGAAAAAAATAAAAATAAATATATATATATATATTCTAGCTACTTGCAGAAGTCAAGATAAGGAAAAATGCCTTGTTTTCCCATTTCAGATGTCTGATGACCTTTATTTTAAAGAACTGGTGCCTTCTTCTTCCCCCATCCATGCTCCCTGGGTTGCTCTGAGTTGCGGCGCAGAGGCAGAGGAAAGAAGCAGCTTGTAGTTTGTACCTGAAGGAAACTGATTGGGCTGAGAAATGGGAAGCAGGAGATGATGAGAAATTAAGAGGTCTGAAGAAAGCTCAGTAGTAAGTAGAAGAGACGAGGGAGTCACAACATTTGGGTTAGGTACACAGGCACATCCTGAATAGATAGCAGAGAAAGTCTAGTGTCTGAACAAAGCTTTACAGCAGCTTTTTTGCTAAGTGGAGGGTTGTCTCAAATAATCAGCAATACTAACATGAGAAAAGGAAATCTGCTAAACGCAGCTATTCTACTCCCTCTAGGTACTTCAAAACCTCCTTTACTTGTGTCCCAGATCCTTCTTGTAGAAATAATTAAAACTATTTCCACAGGGCAGTGAGGATCACTGCTCAAGTGCAGCAGCTCCCATCCTCAAAGCCTGTGGGTGAGCTAGTGAGCCGTGCCCTACTCTGTGGCCAGAGACAGATATGGTAGTGGCTTCCCAGCCTTGGGCTTGGGGTGGCCTCCTGAAGGGGGGAGTCTGGCTCCTGCTCCATTTAAAGCCTTGTTTGTTTAGTGTAAGATTGTAGAGATTGGTGTTCACCTGTTGCAAGGTGTAGGACTAGGGAGTTTATAGAAATAAAGACTGGGACTAAACAAAGTAGATCAGAATATCAGGAGAGTCAAGATGAAAATCAGCATGAGCCAGAAATGAT